AAAAAAAAAAAATACATGCATATATGGTCATTTTTATTTTATGATGACAGGTAACAGAGGAAATTTTTGGCACCACAGAGGTATTGGAGCTGGTTCCCAACGGGACAGACATCAGCGTCAACAAGTCCAACAGGTATTATATGCACCATAATATAATGCATTCACTCAACACGACGGTTGTTTGACACTAACTGACTTCAGTTCACATATAAACTCCAGTATTTGTGATTTGATTTATATTTTTGCCTAACTAAATGGTTTAACCTATTCAACCTATCCAGGCAGGAGTTTGTCAATGCCTACGTCGATTATATATTCAACATCTCCGTGGCTCCTCAGTTCAGTGCTTTCTACGCGGGATTTCACAAAGTGTGTGGAGGGAAAGTTCTAGAGCTTTTCCAGCCCAGTGAACTGCAGGCCATGGTCATAGGAAACACCAATTATGACTGGAAGGAGTTAGAGAAGGTAAAAATTAACTGTGGATGAACTGTACCAGCTGATAGTGTAATTTGCTCAGACTGCAGCTGGTTTTGTGCGTGTTTGGTAGGGTTGGGTATCGTTTGAATTTGATCAATTCCGATTCTTCTCGATTCCCAGTTTCGATTCCAATGTGGTTAAAAAAAATGAAGTCAAACATATAGATATCAAACATATTTATTCTGTCTCTTTTTGCAAAACATTTAATTGCTGCTGAATACCATGAACAAAAATCAGCCGGCTACATAAAAACTGGACTCGTTTAAGAGCTGTTTGTGTGCAAAATAGAGCTGCATGATTCTGGATAAATTGAGACTTTTTTTTTTAAATGGAGGTTGTATAATTCTCTCACAATTCTGAAGAAAGAATATTAGACAACTAAACAAAATCTCATGGAATTTATGAATGAAATGATTCAATGACTCACTCAATATTTACTTGTTTCATTACTGGATGAATCAGTGTTTTTGAATGAATCTTTTGAATGAATGATTCAAATACAAATACATTTTTAACAGCCCCTTTTTTCCACATAAAAATAAAATATGCGCACACAGGAATTGATAAGTGGAATTGAAATTGAAATTTTACAACATGTATCCGATTCTGTAATTGGAATAGATTTTTGATTCCCAAGCCTAGTGTTTGGAAATGTTTTGCTACTGTAGTTTGTTGAGGTTGTAAATGTTCTGCGTGACTGTATTGATTCTCAGAGCACAGAGTATAAGGGCGAGTACTGGGCCGATCACCCCACCATCAAGATATTCTGGGAAGTGTTTCACGAGCTGCCTTTGGAGAAGAAGAAACAGTTCCTGTGTAAGTGAACCATCTTTGAGTATATATTTACACAGTGTCCAGCACATCAGTCATCTGCTCTGAACAGGACCTCAGATTTGTACAATTATCCCTCTTTTCAGTGTTCTTGCACTACAAGCAAAATCATTGTATTTTCCTGCACTGGTCAGCACTGGTTTTGTAACGTCTTCTTTCAGACTAGTGGAGAGAAAACATCCAAAATATACATTTAAGTGATTATTTGCAATGTATCCTGCATGTTTAAAAGTGACATGTCATGAAAATCTGACTTTTCCAGGTTTTAAGTGCTATAATCAGGTCCCCGGTGCATCTACTAAACAAGGAAACGTGAAAAAGATTAACCCAGTAACTTTGTTTTGGGAAGCCTTTTTATGCAAGCGTCGGCGGGGAGCAGCAGCTCATTTGCATTTAAAGAGACAGGCCCGAAAAACAGCGTGTTTCTGCTTCCACTCAAAATAGGCATTTTCAAAATGATAATAAATGATATAAATGATCTGTGGAGTATTTTGAGCTGAAATTCTGACACATTCTGGGGACACCAGAGACTTATATTACATATTGTAAAAAGGGGCATAATATGTCTCCTTTAAAGGCTGAGAGTCTGGTGCACTTCAGCAGCTCTTACTTGTACCAAACTTTAGTTTTATTCCTATCTGTATTCTGAAGGTTTTTACAGAACGGTTTGTTCATCTATCATTCGGCTGGTTTTATTGTTGCACTTTATCTGTGTGCATCTTTAGATTTTGATTACAATGTTTAGTGTAATCTCAAAATAAGTTTTTTTTTCCTTCACTTCAGTAACACTTATACACACCAAAATTTGCAGTTTCATTCATATCTATATTCTGAAATGTTAACAGAGAGGTTTGTTCATATTTGTTCATCTGATTTTATTATTGCACTTTGCATCTATTTATGTCTGTAGATTTTGATTACAGAACATATCTTTAAGGGCTTTTCTCAAAATGAGTTTTTTTTCCTCCACTTCGGAAATATTTACCTACACTAAACATAAAATTTTTATTCCTATCTATATTCTGTTTTTATAGAGGGGTTTGTTCATATATTATTCACCTGATTTATAAAACATTTTATTCCTGAATAGTGAAATGTGTTTTTATCTGTTGACAGTATTTTCTGATTTATGGAGTGATAAAAAGAGAAACCCAAAGCCCCTCCGTAAAACCTTTAATTCTAATATGTCAACAAAATCAAACAAGGACAGTTTTGAATGTGGCTTTTCTGGAAATGTATGCAAATAAGTGAATATTCAATGAGATACTCATGTGCATAACATTTGACAGGAAACATAACATTTGCAGAAAACTTTTGTCTTAATGTACTGTGATTAATCACCTGGGCAAAGTATGGTGTTTAAGTAACTTTACCTAGCTGTCTCTGAAAGGTTATGCTCAGAACCTCAAGCTGACGTTTTGATGTTGTCTTCCTGTCATTTACACTAGTGTTCCTCACGGGCAGCGACCGAATCCCCATCCTGGGCATGAAGAGCCTGGTGTTAGTGATCCAGCCCACCGGTGGCGGAAAGCACTATTTCCCTGTAGCGCACACATGCTTCAACCTGCTGGATCTGCCCAAGTACACTAATAAGGAGACACTCAAAGAGAAACTGCTGCATGCCATCGAACACACCCAGGGCTTCAACCTCGTCTGACGTCAGCGAGCGCAAAACGAGCAATCCGACTGTATGTGAGACACAGGTACCACACGCTTCAGCCTGCAGAAACATTTGTGTACTTCATTGTGTGACTGCTGCCTTCGAGTTGTTTTCAAAATTAGCATAGAAATGTTTATTATGCATCTGAATAATCATCAGTTACGATTTGAATAAAGACACTTATCTGCAAAAATAGTGTCCCAGTGGCACTTAAATATGTAAACAGTATTTGTATATCAGAGTTTTGTTACTTACTCAAAGTTTGGGTGATATTTGTGTGCTAGTGAGCATTTAAAGATTTCTCCTTTTTTCCCCTCTTTCTTTCTTTTTCTCTTTTTTTTTTGGAGTGGAAGAGGGGAAATAGTTCACCCAAAAATGTAAATACTAAAATACTGTAAATTGGCTGAATGTGTACTCACTCTCAGGCCATCCAAGATTAGGATGAGTTTGTTTCTTCATCAGATTTGGAGAAATGTAGCATTGCATCAGTGTCTCAGCAATGGATGCTCTGCAGTGAATGGGTGCCGTCAGAATGAGAGTCCAAACAGCTGATAAAAACATCACAATAATCCACAAGTAATCCACACCACTCCAGTCCATCAGTTAACATCTGGAGAAGCCAAAAGCTGAAACAAATCCAGCATTAAGATGTTTTTAACTTCAAACCGTTGCTTCTGACTAAAATATGAATCCATAATAACGCTTCCTCCAGGGAAAAAGTCCATCTCCTGTTGTCTCTCACATCAAATCAGTTGTCTCTCCTTCTCAAGTCATTAACTGCTGGACTGGAGTGGTGTGGATTACTTGTGGATTATTGTGATGTTTTTATCAGCTGTTTGGACTCTCATTCTGACGGCACCCATTCACTGCAGAGCATCCATTGCTGAGACACTGATGCAATGCTACATTTCTCCAAATCTGATGAAGAAACAAACTCATCCTAATCTTGGACGGCCTGAGGGAGAGTACATTTTCAGCTAATATTCATTTCTGGGAGAAATGCTCCTTTAAACATGCAACACACTATGTAAGGTTCTATACATTAACATCAGTATCATAAACGAAAAATGAACAACTATATTTTACAGAATTTAGAAATTCACCATAGTGAACAAATAAATGTTAATGTATAAATACACAGTTGTTCATTATTCATTCAGAATGCATTAACTACTGTTATATTGTATTACTATTACTGTTAAAATGAATATGTAAAAATTACACTGAGATTATGAAATGCTATTGTTTATTAACGATAGTATTTAACTAATGTTAGCATTACAAAACCTTTGTTTTTTATTTTATTTAATTACATAGAATATGATTTTATTCTAAATGACTTCACAAACTAACGCCTCATGGATGCAACCGATACGAAGATGTTGGATTTGCTAAACGTTGTGTGACTTTTTTGAAAACATTTTGGCATATTGTTCAGATTCACTTCAGGATGTACTGGATGAATATCGATGCAGAATCATTTTGTTCTGCACATAATTTTGTTCAAAGGAAGTGGTGTGTGTCCTTGCAGGATCTTTAAACCACTTTTGTGTCATGTGCCTTAACTGAAAACACACACACACACACACAGATTGTTTTGGGCTTTTTTGTGTTTCGTTTTTTAGAAGTTTGAGTAAGTATCAAAATCTGATTGCAGCAGCAGAACGTGTCTGATGAAAACGCTGTTATAATGTTCATATACTGGAGTGGCAATGCAAAGTCTTACGGGTGTTTAGAAGTTTGCATGATTACAGAATCAAATAAAATGCCACTGATAACATTCTAAGTAATAATTTATGTCCAATACAAATAATAAGTGAGTTTGATGATTGGAGTTCAAGTTCAACTCCATCAGTCTTAACCCGCTCATCACACACGTGTGTGAGATTTAGTTGCTGTGCCATTGTGTGAGTGCTGAAGGAAGCAGTCAAACAAATGCTGACATTTTTCCTGTGTTTGTAAATTGTAAATAAACAAAAATTTTTCTAGATTTGATGTTGTGATTTTTTCCCCCTGTATACTTTAGTTGGATTTAGTGGATCGTTTGAAAGCTTGTTGCCACCATGAATTGAGAGACTCGAAATTTTGACAAAAAAAAAGAGATCAAAACTCTCAGAAAAGAAAACAGGACTTTTAAATTTAATCCAAAATGTAAAAACTTACAGAGGCAGCCGACCAGTCGTTTGTTATTGATGCTGGGAACGATATGAGGGTCGTCTCTGGTTCCAGTGTATTCCTTTGGCTTGAATATGCTGTATGGATCCTGTATAACAGATGATGGGTGGTTCAGAATGAAAACAATACACTGGTCAAACAGAATATCATTGTGTGTTTTACCTGGCCTTTCTTCATGGCCTGCAGGATGCGTCTCTCCAGCCCCGCTGCCTGCTCTTCATCTGTTGGAATACCTGAAAACAGAAAACATGATCGATGGTAAGACAGTGATACGCTTGAGTAAAAGCGGACGGTGCAACCAGAGCCCTGGAGGACAAAAAATAAGAGAAAAATATCTGCCATTAATACGGTCAAAAAAACTTTTTTTTTTTATTTAATTGTGAATACAGTAAACAATTTCATATACATGTTTTATTTAAATATAACCTATTATGCCCCAGTCACATATTCTCATTGAAATGATAATGGCATTACATCATAATCTGAGATTTATCCTCAAGGGATCAAAGATTCTTCTAAGAAAAAAAAAAATATTAATAAAGTTTATACTGCAAATGCATATGCATTTATATTCTATTTTAATAAAGTTTTTGTAAAGTGTTATAAAAATAATTTAAATATAATCTTTTACTCTAAATAAAAAACGTTTATTATAACAAAAATATAATGCTTAACAGACCATGCACATTCATACGCTGAAAGATTTTCACTCAGAAATTTAAAGAAAATTTCACAATGATTTATGAATAAATAGCAAGAGGCTGAATTTTTGTATTTGTAAAAAAGTATTCCAATAATCTTTGTTTTATTTTTTTTACTATTTTTTACAGTGTATATCAGTGTTAGTGTATATCAGTGTTATTATTTTATAATATTTATTATTTGGTGGGAACAAAAAAAAAACAGAATTGTGCAAAATAAAAATGTATTACATTTTATTAATATTTTGATTTTGTTTTCATTTTAATTTTTAAGTTGTAGTCAATTTGTTTTTTGTTTTGGTTTTTTCATTGAGTATGTATGGTCTAATTCTTATTTTAGTTTTTTTAGTACAGTACAAGTTAACCTAAATTAAAAATTAAAAAAAATATATATATATATACTTTTTTTTTGTTACAAAAAAACTTGCTGTAAAAGTTTTTATGTATTTTATTTCAAGTAACGATTTTTTTAAATGGTTTTAGTTTAAGCTTCATTACTTATACTTGCATGTACATTCACTAATTATACATTAGTTATACAGGCAATAATGTTAATGTTACTAATTTAAAAAGTGCCACCAGCGTGTTACTGCAAATAGTTTTGTTTACACTCGCACTTGGTCTTGAGATTGCGAAGACACCACTTGTCCACTAGGTGTCGCCAAACATCGGGTAAATAAAGCGGCGCCCTCCATGATCCGCAGTAACTGGCGCACGAACATGAGTTTAGTGCCAAGAAAGGCCAGAGCTCGGCCTCCACAGCATAAAGAACAAGTGACCTTGATTAAACGCACTCCGTATATATCATACGAGCCTCCACGTTATCGCTTTAAGTCATGTCTAGCGTATTTAACCCTACTTTCAAGTGTACTTTAATGTTCTTCAGATATCACCGAGCAGTTTCATATGTCCGGTCTGTCAGAGCATTAATATGTCACTCTTTCAAAAATATCGAATAGGACAGCATATTGCTTTATTTTTGTACGTGCATGAATAATATCAGTAGTTTATCGTGCTGCTTAATTTCTCTGTAGAAATTCCTGAATGTCTCTCACCTTTACCGGCCATCGCACGCTGAGGTGTTTTCATTAAAATATGTTGTCTTCCCATCAGAGTCAGGCGACAGCCTCTCAGAAGGATTTTACTTGCCATCTTGACTTTAAACGTTCGGTCTTCTGTGCGCGCACAACTGTATGTGAACTGGAGTCAGTGAAAGCCAATAGAATGATTGACACATGGGACTGACCAATCACAGAGAGGATCCGCTGGACTTTAACCAATGAATGAACACACAGTTGAGGAAGAGCGGACAGTAAAATAAAAGTGAAATCTGTTCCGACTGCCTTTAGTTCTGTTCGAAGAAAAACCGGCAGATTTAACAGATGAAACAAAAATATTAAAAATTAAATAAAAGTAAATAAATAATAAATTAATTTAAAAATGCCTTTAGTTCCGTCACAAGGAAAACCGGCAGATTTAACAGATGAAACAAAAATATTAAAAATAAAATAAAATAAATAATAAATTAATTTAAAAATGCCTTTAGTTCCGTCACAAGGAAAACCGGCAGATTTAACAGATGAAACAAAAATATTAAAATAAAATACAATTAAATAAATAAATAAATATAAATGCATAAAAAAATGCCTTTAGTTACATCAGAAGGAAAACCGACAGATTTAAATAGATTAAATAAAATATGTAAAAATGAATAAATAAAATAAAAATAATAGTAAATTAGTGAAAAAATCGACAGATTTTAATAAATAAATACAATTTTAACAGATTAAATAAAAAATAAAGTTAAATAATAGATTAATGAAAAATGCCTTTAGTTCCGTCAGAAGAAAAATCTACAGATTTAAAAAGATTAAATGGAAAATTAAAAATAAATAAATACAATTAAAATAATACACGAATAAAAATCCTTTTTATTCTTTAAATAATGTAGTTCTGTCATAAAAAGTGAAATGCTCCATTAATATGATGATTAATATGTTAATGGAAACATTGTGCATTATGATGGAGTCTGTAGCGTAATCCACTGTATCTGAAATAGTTTGAGCTGCAGTTCAGTTCAATAGAAATCAGTGGAACGCATCCACTCATAGCATTGAAGTAAATCTTCAATTTATCAGTATATATTGTAATAAATATTTAAGAAATGATTGTTGTATCTGATTGTATTAGTAGTCTATACAGTGATAGTCGATGGGAGAAGCAGATGAACACAAAACAGCAGAACAACAGAGTTAAAGTTATGGTTACTTAAACTTTATCATTCAGCTGTGTTTCAAACACTTCGGCTCTTATATGTTCTTACTCCACACATCTATTAAATATGAGTCCTTGAAAGCACACCGTTTATTTCTTTAACTTCTCAGCTAATATCAATGGTGTGACCTACTTCAGATGCAGCCCAAATTACAACAACACTAGTGCTTACATACAAATATATTCAATAGTTTTATCAAAAATATTGCTAGGGACAATACAGTAGTCTCTAGATATTGCGCTAGGGACATGTCAGCGTCCTTACTAAATTCTACGCCCTTGAATAAGAATCAAATGAGATTCTACTGAATAAACTATTTCAAATAACATTCTACTCCAGTAGAATGTTCAAGATCCAGTAGAATCTTAATAGAGGATACTTTCCCTTTAATCTCTTTAGGACTGGTTGCATTTATGTAAAAAAGATAATGACTTCTACATTTGTGTCCTATTCCACAGTAGGTTGTTTTATTTATGCACCATGGGCTGACAATTAAGCACAATGCACAACAGACATATTTTTACACAAACACACAGATTTGCCTCAAAATGCTGATTGCACATGGCGCTCATATGATAAACACTTTTCTATCTCTTTTTCTGAACATAAATAAAATGGCTTATATGTATATTAATTGAATGCTATTTTTATTCATATATATCATGAAAATCAGACCTTCACAGACATAACCCACTGTTTTTTGTAACTCGTGTGTGTTTTTAATGTAAACTTGTGTGTGAATGAGAACTTAGTTTAGTACTCACATGCTGTGACAGCCGCTTTCTGTGCGTGTGCTTCGAATGTGTGCACTCAGAAAACAGTATATCTGAAGTTTAAACTCATATGGTTTAAAACGCATGATTTCAGAGCGATAAACATGATAATCAGAACCAAAACAGATGTTTTTAGCAGGTACGAGCTGTAATGGAGCAGCACTATTCTGGAAAAGGGGGCGGGGAGCAGCAGCTCATTTGCATTTAAAGACACAGGCCCGAAAAACAGCGTGTTTCTGCTTCCACTCAAAATAGGCATTTTCGAAAATGATATAATAAATGATCTGTGGAGTACTCTGGGGACACCAGAGACTTGTATTACATATTGTAAAAAGGGGCATAATATGTCTCCTTTAATTGATGCTATATGCATAAAAATGCATTATTTATTACACATTATATTCATTAAAATAAACTTTATAATCATTTATTGTGCCAATCTGCAGGCTTGAAACTCATATTTCAACAAAAAATCATTCTGATTGGACATTTAAGGCATAGAAAGCATCACTGCTGAACATTAATATCAACATATCTTACCTTTCTACAAAACAAATTAAAACAGACCAAGTCAACGTTATGCATAATGGTGACGCGTAGTAAATGAATGGTCAGTTCTGATTCTTTCCTCTATATGTGGAAGAATAGAATAGGATAAGAATATAGAATATAGAACGACAGAAAATATGCATTTATATTTCATAGTTCCTGAACTTCTGTAAAAGGCCTGAGGGAGCTTCACCAGCCCAGCGAAGCCTGTGATGCCAAAAATCATCTGTGAAACAGAGACATTAGGGTAAAAAACTAATAACTGAAGAATTGTAAATAGCCATGACAAAGAACTCTCTTACAGGATTCAGACGGTTTCTCTCCATTCACGTTCACTGGATCTGGATCTTTTGCAGCCTCAAGCATCGGCTCTTTCTTGCTTCTCACGGCCCAATGCATTGACTGAGATTTCATTTTAGGAAACACATTCATGAGTTATTATAAATTGCACGACAGAATGCAGTGTTAATTTTCCATGCATTCGTTCATCATCAGCGTCCTGTCATTCAAAGCAGCGACTAACACTCACTGTTTTAACAGAGTCACTGAGCGCTCGCCACTCGCTGAACGGGATTGCAATTCGACTTCGGAGCCAGAGATCGTAATTCTTTCTTTTCTTATCATCCGTGAGAACCTCTTTAGCCTCCTTTAACTTCTGGAACTCCTCCACTGCAAAACGTTCACTCACAAGTGTGAGTAACAGATTCAAATGCTCACGAAAGACATGGCAGTGAGTGTGAGAGTGTGTGTGTGTGTGTGTGAGTGTGTGTGTGTGAGTGAGTGTGTGTGTGTGAGTGAGGGAGTGAGTGAGAGTGTGTGTGTGTGTGTGTGTGAGTGAGTGAGTGAGTGAGTGAGTGTGTGTGTGTTGCAGCCTCAAGCATTGGCTCTTTCTTGGTCCTCGCAGCCCAATGCATTGACTGAAAAGTAATGCAATTATTATAAATTGTTATAAATGTAATGAATATATCACCTACCTAACACTCACTGTTTTAACGGAGTCACTGAGCGCTCGCCACTCGCTGAACGGGATTACAATTCGACTTCTGAGCCAGAGATCGTAATTCTTTCTTTTCTTCTCATCTGTGAGAACCTCTTTAGCTTCCTGTAACTTCTGGAACTCCTCCACTGCGGAAAGTGTGTGAGAAACAGATTCAAACACTCACAAAAGTGACGTTCAGAACGATCTGACAGATTCCTGTATTAATGTTCCTGGTCTTACTGTGAATAATTCATCAGTAAAGTTATTGTGAAAAAAAAAAAAGGAAAATTATTTGTCTTTGTGATGTTTCATCATGTTAGTTTAGGTTAGTGCAAACCAAAAATATACATAAACAAATATTTAAATGAATACATTTACAATGATTTAATATAAACTTAAATTATCAACATTTAAATTGTTTTAAAAATCTCCAAAAAGTATTTTAGTCATTCATTAAAAATTGTGCGAACACAATCCACTAAAAATGAATTTTTAAATATTTTATTTGCATTTTTTTTTTTTTTTTTTTTTAATTTTTTTTGAAAGTATTTTTTTTTCATTGTAAATC